TACCAATGTCATCGATGTCGCGTTGGCAGGTAGGCAGTGATGTGTGCGAGGCGTTGGTGTGGCTGAAGAAGTACACAATGTGAGCGGAAGAACAAAATAGATCCACACCCAAACCCTACCACTGAAAAAGTTGAACACTTTAATAAAAATATCTTGAACAGGTGTACGACCAAGTTGTATATTAAGAATGTGCCCATTGCCGAATATTGATTTTGATTTTTGAATGGAAGACTGAACGTCACTAGCAAAATTATTTATTTATAGTTCTTCAATCAGTTTCTCTTAGAGTATCATTAATGGAATGATCATATGAATAAGTAACCAAGTATAAGAAGAAACTCTCTCTCTATTTTTCAAATCTAATTTTAATAATTTACTCAAGACACGTATAAAACAACCGTACCTTCTTGAATTATATTTTCGCATAGCATCGTCAAGAATATTGAAATCTGTCAAAAGACCGTTATATAGACAAGTTTCATGACAATTCATTTTATTTTATTTTAGTGCATCATCACGATTATTTTCTGTGGTCGTTGTTTGATGTTGGTACGATTCTCTAATTTATCGAGTTAATTTAATACGCTTAGAACTAACTCTTAGTTGTACCTGTTAATTATGGTACATATATTTGTAGAACCATCTAACGTATATGAAAGTTATATAATATTTCTTTTCGTTCAATGTGTATTGAATATTAATGAACAAAAATAACTTCGAATTGACAATAGAACAAATGACAGAGGGCAAACATTCTTGAGTTCTTAAGAAGTTCACAGATAGTTCATTTAATTTATTAAATTGTTTTCCTCTTTTTTCTAATATTTTCTAATTTGTTTTATGGTGTTTCATCAGCGATATTGACTTCATCAGACTATTTTATTTGTAAAATGACTAGTATGTTAGAATAACAAGTGCATTTTGACATAGTCATACTATTATTTTTGATAGTGGAATATATACAGAAATATATCCAAAAGAAAAATAACTTCGTCAAATATCGCTGTCTTGTTCGTTGCACTTTGAAAACAAAACAAATTAGAAATTTTAAGCGAAAGTGAAAAAAAATTCGATAAGTTTGATGAATTAATGAAGAGAATTTCTTCAGATATTAAAAACTTTTGATTGTGGCATTATATAAGACATTTCTGGAAGTAAATCTGAATTAGAAGTATTTGATGACCAGAATTATTCGAATGAAAAATTTCAAATAACTTTTGTTAAGTTTTCAATAATCAAAAACATTTCGACTAAAAGTTCTTTGTCTATGAAAACTGATTTTAAATGTTTAGAATTCTATAGAAGAATTTTCGGTGGTTTTCAGACTCTTCATCAATGTTAAAACAATGAACAGAGTATAAATACATGTAACTGAAATGAGAGTATAGACTCATGTCTAAATAGTGTCATTGAATTCCTTTTCGAAAGTTTTATTTATTTTCCAAAAATATTGTTCGATACTATTTGAAAAGACATGAGTTGATACAGTCAAAAAAATGTAATTTCTTTTGATCAATTGAAAAAAAAAACTATTAGTAATTTCACGAAACATTATATGTAAATAATTACTGTTTTGCTTTTTATCAAAAAATCATGATAAATGGTTACTCATGGTCGTTTTTTATATTAAAAAATTGCAAATTACTTTTATGACAAAATTAGTAAACATCATGATAATGATTCGACAATGTATTCCATTACTAGTTTGAAAAATGCATTAAATACATTCAAGTTTGTGTGATCTTCATTAGTCTACTTGGAGCTGCAAAATGTTACTATTGAGAGTAACATTTTGCATGCATAGCACAAAACATAGATCATAAAATTTTACTTCGTTGAAGATCTATTCGATGAAATATGTGTTCTGTAAAGCTTTTTAAAGTCAACATTAAAATTAGTGAATATTTTCTCTTTGTTACAAAAGTTGTCAGCGACTCATTGCGAATCATGCTGTACTACTCATGTTAAATATATATGCGAAGTCGTGTTGTGAAAGAACGATTACTTCCTTGAATAAGCACATGTTTCATATACACGTATGTTCCTATCTTTTGGCGTTTTTTTTCATTCTGATCGAATGTGTAGCTATGCAATAACGTGGCAATGCAAAAAAAAACAGTTCTCATCGTACATAGGTAAGAGAAAAAAATGTAGAAAAATACTAACCTTGAAGCAGTATCAAACCCCGAATACGCATGTATATATGTCATTGGAGACTTGAAGAGAATTTTTTATTTTGTTTTTAAATAATAATTAGAGTTAATTAATAAATTTAGAACGATTATAATTTCAATTGCTATTTTATTTTATATTGTAAAATGAACAAAGATTTTTCTTTCACTTTTTTAAATAATGTGGAGAAGCAACGATTAGCTAAATTCAATTGAAGAAAAAAAAATACAGATATAAGTTCTTTTCATAAAACTAATGCGAGCAGTTAATAGAAGAAAAACGTTCTTTGCTTGGCCTGATATCAATAAACAAAAACGCATTATACATTAATTTATTTTATAAAATGCATTCAGTATGAGATTATTCATCAGAGATTATTTAAATGGAAGACTATATTTTTTCATCAACTTTCTTCTCGCATTCCAGTCTCAATTGAAATTCTTATATCAAACTAGAGTTCACAGATTCAAGTGACACTAAATTCTGTAAACAAAAAATAATCGACTTGGGCTTTCGATTTCATTCATGGTTGCCATCATTTTTTACATTTTAGTATCACAATAATTGTAAAGCGATCATGAAGGGTCATGAAAACTTGTTTTTTAATACTCCCAACACCCTTGTTAATCTGAAAAAGTCTTAATTTAGAAAAAAAAATTCAGTCGTACTTCAATAAGAAAAATGTAACAAAAAATGTTTAGTAGATAACAATAGAAAAATTAAGAAGAAAGTGTATACTCATTAGAAAATAAAAATACAAAATGCTTATGAGAAAAATTAGAAAAACGATATTCCAATGCTTGACTGAATTTCAAATTGATCCGACACCCATACAAGAAAAAAAAACGCACGTTTCATTCGTTAAGAAGCATACACGAGAAGAATCAATCAGAACATTAAAAAAGCTGAACTTCGAGATGAAACGAAAGAACTCGACGTGTACACTCACACCTGAATCATCGCATCTCTTATTTTCTATAAGTCATGAATAGTAATTATTCTTAATTAATACAATGCGCGAATCGTTTACTAATACTATGATTAGCATTACAATCGTTGCGAGTGTGAGTCTAAACATAAGATGGCATACTCATGTCCACAGTCACATACCCTCATATCAGATTTACGAAAAATTCAAGACGAAAACTCAACTAAATGTTTCTTCAACATTGCAAGCACTATACATATGCTAGAGTATATTCTTTGAATTCTTGTTCGGATTCGAATCAAAGTCATTTTTCGTTATGAAAGAAAAAATCGATATGAAGTTTGTCATACAAATCTGATTCATAGACCGTATTACTAACGCTTTTCAATTATTTGTTAACAGTAATCAATGTGTGTGAGCATTATCAACAAATATTACGTATAGTGTATGATGAAATCTTTCTGTCTTTTCCACTTTTTTTCTGAAAATAATTTTACAAAAAAACGTTGTCCTCTAGTTTTTCTATTTTTTTTTTGTGTTGGAGTTGACGTTAGAATTCAGTTGACTTTACGAATTGATATCAAAAGTAAATATCGTCTGTATCGAAAAAATAAACTTGAGAAGGAAAGTATGGTTAGTCTGAACAGAAAAAAACACAGTATTGAATAAATCATGAGCACTGACATCTACACTTCCACTCACATACTATACCTGAATTTATAACAACATCCAGAGTACCAAGATGATTGCTGTTTTATGGTCAACACATTTAAATGGACCTCAAAACTGAGGAGTTTTTGCGAGTTGAAAATGATTTGTTATCTGTGGTGATATAGCAACTTTGAGCTTTCAAATTTTAAAGATAATTGTTGGCGGATTATTTTAAATCCTAATTATCATGTTTCGAATAACTTTAGTCAAGTTCTTTTGTTATTAGATTAAACAATGCCGAGGAGATTTTATCTGTTTAACATTGATTCGACTCAACGAAGCTTTTCGCGGATGTTTCCACGTGAACACTTTTTGTTGCCACTTTCTAGAAGTCTCCGTACAAATCTATCCTCAAATTAAAGCAAAATGGAATCGAACGAATATTGTATTCTCTATATAATTGTCAGATTTGTTTATCGTCATTCTAGATTCATGCTATAGAAAAAGTGTATCAAATCTGGGTTTTTTTATGGATAATTGAACCTTCTTTGTAGTACATTTTGAAGTAATTTGAGCATAGATTTTCACGAAAACTTCATGATAATGACAACAAAGAAGTGTGTTCTTGCAAATATCCATGAAAAGGTTCCTTGAACTTGATTAGTGTTAGACAGATAGATGTTCACAGCACGCCTGCATCTAAAGGCGAAATCTCGACTTTGATCAATTGAAGAAATCGACAGTTATTGAAAAAATCGTGGTTAGCGTTTTAACACGTTCGTCTATGAGTTGACTTCTCAATTTTAAAGTCAACTCCGACCTATATATATGCATTTTCAATAATAATGAAATTTTCTTGTTATAGAATTTGTATGAAAATTTTATTAAATCGTTCCGTTATTCTAGAATTCGTTCCCAAAAAAAATTCTAGTAATCAGATAACACTAATCTCGTGTATAAAAGCAGTAAATAACAGTAAACGAACGGTATTGACATACTGTTCGTTTATAATAAAAAAAAACGAAGAAAATATTTGAAATTCTCATCCGTACCTAGTAAGAAAAAATGAATTCGTTTAACGAATACATGATAGCACTGTTCAAATGTCCATATGTAAATTATTTATGGGATATTGTATAGGTATTTTGCTTGTCTGGAAACTGAAAATTCTGCAATTATTTAGTCAGCGATGGTGAATTTAGTAAACCTCATGCTAAAAACCATAGTAATAATATTAATAATTATAGATTCATGATTTTTTCTTACCATTATGTTTCAGTAGAAGAGTCCCATTATAGAGGGTGTAAATAGTTTCAGAATTAGCATCATTAAATTTAGACAATGAAGAACACTCTTTTGGCAGTGACCTTTTCCATCGAATCTTATGATCGAATACTAATTTATCTAGTTGCTTGCCTAAATTGGTTACTGTTTTCACAAGATTCGATCGATTCCCGAGCGCAGCAATCAAGCTTTTCCCATCTTGCGGCTTGAGTGCATTTAATGTTGCTTCATCACGAATATTGGGCATTAAACCATTAATTTTAATAATATTTTCAACAAATGTTTGACATGTATTATTTTTAGCAACATCATATTTATAAAAATTCTTATCAACATTTGATGCTGTAGAAATTAACTGATTGAGCGTCAACATTCTGTTTGGTGAGAGAGGAATATCATACACATCGACGAAGTCGTCAGGTATCGTTGAAAAATCGAGAGCAATACGTTGTGTTTTCTCAAGTTTAAGTACAGTACTAGCAACTGGATATTGTCTCATATTTCCAAACAAATTTTGTTGTACTTTCGGTCCTGATCTTTTTTGGATAGTAATAAGTAAATAACTGTGATAGAGTTCATCGTAGCCAAGCTCAAGTTGTTTTTCGGAAAACTTTGAACCACTCAAAAAATTGAGTACTTTAATAATGCCACTGGAAACAGGTGTACGACCAAGCTGTATTTTCAGAATACGATAATTACCAAATACTGCCAATAGATCTCGTACTCTGAATGGCAGTTTTGAGTCATCTTTTGCGTTGATAAACTGGAATGTACCATTTTTGGGCTATAAATACAAACAAAAACAATCTCTATAAGATGTTATTGATTTTGATTTGTAAATAGAAGACTGAATGTCACCAGAAAAAATATTTTTGTATAGTTCTTATTCAATCAGTTTCCCTTAAATTATTCCTAATGGAATGATCATATGAATAAGTAACCAAGTATTAGAAGAAATTCTCTCTATTTTTCAAATCTAATTTTAATAATTCACTCAAGATACGTATAAAACAACCGTACCTCCTTGAATTATATTTTCGTATAGCATCATCAAGAATATTGAGGTCTGTCAAAGATCATTATAGATTTGAACATAACGCACTACTGAAAGTTCAAAAAAGAGAAATAATGGTTTCCTAATCGTCAATAAGCAGTGTATGAATAGACTAGTTACATTATCACTCATTTTATTTTATTTGAACGTGTATAAATGACAAGGGTTCATCATCATGATTACTTTGTGTGATCATTGTTTGTCATTGGTGCAACTGTGTAGCATATTGAGTTGGTTCAATGTGCTTCGAACTAATTCTTAGTTGCACCTTTTCATTGAGGAACATACATATGTAGAACTAACGAAATTATATGAAAGCCCTATAAAAACCCAATCAATGAAACAGTGATGAATAGGATACAACACTCTCTTGTTTGTTTTCTTTTATTATTTCGCATAAATAAACAGTTTCGAATTGAGAATAGAACGAATAGGAAAGAAGAAAATGTTTTTCGATATTCAAAACCTTTCATTCTGAAATTATACGAAAATAAATGATTGTCTTCTAATTATGAAGTTTAAAAGAAATATGTTCGGTGTTGTGCAGATCAAAAAATTAAGAATGTAAGATACTTCTGAAAGTAAATCTGAATTGAAAGTATTTACTATTGTCAAGATATGACTTAGAAGTATTTGATGACCAGATTTATTCGAATGGAAAATTTCAAATAACTTTTGTTAAGTTTTCAATAATCAAAAATTTTTCTACTAAAAGTTCTTTGTCTATGAAAACTGATTTAAAATGTTAGGAATTCTATAGAAGAATTTTCAGCGGATTTCCGACTCTTCATCAATGTTAAAACAATGAACAAAGTATAGATGCATGTTTAAATAGTGTCATTGAATTCATTTTCGAAAGTTTTATTTATTTTCCAAAAATATTGTTCGATACTGTTTGAAAAGACATGAGTAGATGCAGTCAAAAAAATATACTTTCTTTAATCAATTGAGAAAACAACTATTAATAATCGCACGAAACATTATTTGTAAATTTTTAGTCTTGGTTTTTGTATTAAAAAATCATGATAAATGGTTACTCATTGTCGCTTTTTATATTAAAAAAATGGAAATTACTTTTATGACAAAAATTAGTCAACATCATGATGATGATTCGAGAATGTAGTCAATTACTAATTCGAAAAATGGACTTCGCACTTTCAGGACGGCTATCTTGTAAATGGTCATTTATTAAACTAATTAGGTTTGACAGTGTGTCTAAAAAATTAGTAAATTGATTTTTTTTCATCCTATAATATCGTACAGTTTACTAGTCTGGCATACATATATATCTTTTGTTCTTTTTCTGTACTTTGCATTAAGATATTTTCTAAACATTTTCTCCTCTTGTTGTAATCGACAGATCATGAGATGATATAGAGCATAACAGAGCGTATTGT